ACTATAGAATACAAGCAGAATCAGTGATGAACAGTGCCAGATAGTTGACACTTAACAAGAGCTGCCCAGAGTTGTTGAGAGTCAGGTGGTATACAAGTTTAATAAATTATTGTTGTTTGTTTGTTTGTTTATTTATTTATTTATTTATTTATTTATTGAATTTCTCCCCCGCCCATCTCCCCCACAATAGGGGACTCTATTATTACATTGTTGATGGTACCAAAAGCCAATGAGAGATTCAGAAGCTTCGATAGCATTGTGCTCTGCATACTGTATATTTCCCCTGGTAGGTCATCTCTTTGAGCAACCAATGCAGTTTCAATCCATATCCTCCAAGATCACAGGCTTAATTTGGTGGGCATGGGTATGTGTGTTTCTTGCTTTATATGCACTGTTCTGCCCTGCTCATACTGAACTTCAGGATTGCAGTTAAAACTACAAAGACTTTGCTGATTTGGGCTGCTTGGTTAAATTTGGTATGTGTGCCATGAAAGGGTAATACACCATTTTCTTTTGCTGAGCTTATGCCTATGAGGCAGATTACAAAAGAAAGCCCTATTGGTTGAACTTGCTTAGTAGATGGGGTAGGAGGCTAATCCAGGCTGATTTAACTGCCTTCCCACCCACAGAAAAAATGGCCAACGAAGTGAGTTGAAAATGTGAAAAAAGCTGTATTGGAAACAAAATAATCTATTTTTCTGCAGGGCATATTCTGGGTAGCAATTGTTCTGGACTGCCATCCACCTAATCTTGTGGTCCTGGTGTGAAGAAAAGGGATCTTGTTTTGAGTTCATTGTTTCTTATCATTGTTTCTTATGGTTAAATCATTATAAATGGGTAGAGTTCTGTTCTATTCAATCCATTTTGAATTCTCTTCCAGAACCTCAAAACAAAATGCATTTTCATTTTTGTGTTCACATGTGCTGCATGACTGCATAACCTAAATAAATCTTGAGCTCTTCATTTTAAATATATTTTAACAGAGCTACATTACCTCACTAACCACAAAATTAATTTAGTTGACCTCTTTTCTAAGATGGCTTGTTCCCTTTCTTGTGGCCTCCTTGCTGCTTCTCACACAGTTCATCTGTTCATTCAACAGGTTTTTTGCAACCATGGCTTGTCCAATCAACTAATTTCTAAGAGACACACATTTTTATGGCACATTTTTGGGAAGAATTAATTTCATACAAAAAGCCTGTTTTATTCAATTAAAGAGGCCTCTCCCAATTGAAAATTCAGCGAGGACTGATTTGGTACAGCTTCCCTGCCCCTGAGAGTCACACATTATGCAGGAACCTCTGAAGCAGAGTATGCTATAGGTATGCATGAGGATTGGATTACTGTATGATTAGGTTTGCAGTTGGTGTAGAAGCTTCAGTGAAAAAGTTTCCGATATTCAGATGGTCCTCCTTTTAATATGTGTGTACAGGAAGTGATGCCACCGATCTGGCTGCAATAGCATTGAAATTTCGTAGCTTCTTCCCACATGAGTAATATGCAAAATGGGCCTCTTATTCTAATTAATTCTTTTCAAAACTTCCCTTCCTTTCCACTTTTCTCTTTCCACATTAGTATTGTGTTCCTCCTCCTCTCCACGTTTATTAACTCTTTCTCAGTCTCCCCTACCTTAGTTTCTCCTACCTTCAAATTCAGTTTCTTGCATGTGGCAGCAACCACACACACAGACAGTTTTTATTGAACAGGTGGGCTGACTAGCAACAGGAAATACAAAGTAAATATCAGAGCATAACAGAAGATAGTTAAACAGAAATATTAAATACATAAGAATAGCAGCAAAATTACAGTAGCTTTAAAGTAAACTAATGAAACCACAGGCTAATCTGTAGTTAAAAAATAGATATATTTCCATGATGGCTGAAAGTCATCAGAGAAAAGGCTAGATGGGCTTTTTAGTAAGCAATCCTGGAGAACAGAAGCAGCTGTGAGAAGGCCTCTCAGATAATCTCCAAATCTTCAGATCACAGAAAAGAAGCTCCTCCTGATTAAATATTGTCAGATTTACAAGAGGATACACTATGTCAAATAACTGGTCTTTGGCGTGGTAGGGTAGATTACGATCAGAACTATAGCCTGACACAACTTTTAACTAGTGAAACTACTGTAACATGGAAGTTAACCATGCAGTTCTCTGAGAATAAACCATTAATGTACCAGGTTTATTATACTTTTATTGCTGTGCATGTTCTAAGTTTGGTGAAGGTGAATTATAAAATGGAACAGCTTGCCACAGTTCCCACACAAATTGTGTTTAAATTCAATGGATTTTATAAACAGCAGTGTGTGATACATTATATCCAAAATTATATCTAATGGTGGCACTGAAAAATTTCTCAAAGTCTGATTGACCATATTTATTTACTTAACAATCAGCAATTTAGAAAAAAAACAACACTTGGTTACTGCCAGTAATATTTATTCACTGCCTGGCAATCCTAGTGAAGATATACAGAAAAGAAAACTCTCAGCTCAGACTGTATCCACACAGATGCTACTTATCATTACAGTCTCTCTGTTCATATCCTACAGAAACCTTCCTTCCTTCCTTGCTCCGCTCCTTGTTTTCGCAGGATAGGAGAACAACAATGATTGATGGTGGTAGCTAACTTCTGATTCAGGAGCAGTATGGATTCTCTTCTCCCTCTTACCTGATATTTATGATGAGACTATCATAGCAGAAAGGGAAAGAATAATTGATTTTTAAATAAAGATACAGACACAGCTGAAGCTGGTATCCTGAATAAATGGTTTTTATGTTCCCGTTCCTGTAGCATGAATAGTGTCTTTCTTAACTAAACTAATTATTTAGAAAAGAGAATTTTTTTTCTCTTAGTCATTACTTCTTAATGGTAACCATTTACAGATCTTTGTCCCACTCCATCCAGCACTGTGGTTGTGAGAGCTCAGTGCTATTTTTTTTCCACCTGGCATATTTTAAAAAGATTTTTAAAAATTGCTACAATTATACTTATGTGTATTTATTCATTTATTATTTTATTAGGCTTATATGCTCTTCTGAGTGGCTTATTAACAATATAGGTTACTCAAACACTGAGAAACAACCATAACTCTTATACCCATTCCCCCTTTATATATCAAAGACCTGCCAAAATAAACAGGTCTTAACTGCTTTATGAAATCTAACCAAGGTTGGAGCCCATCTGATATCAGGAGAATCCTGTTCCAGAGAAGGGGGTTGAGGAGCCCTGACATAGGGATCTTTATAGATGGCATCCTTGAAGGGTGCCTGGAGGAAACCTTCCGTTCCTGATCTCAAGGGACAGGTAGATAACATTGGGTGAAAGCAGTCCCACCCTGAACCATGAAAGGCTTTAAATACAACAACCAGCACCTTGAATTACACCCAGAAAAAAGTGGTAATCAGTGCAGCCCTTGAAACAGAGGTGTTACATGGGCAAACTGCCTGGTGCCCATAACTTCTGGAGCCACTGCATTCTGGGCCAGCTGAAGTTCTGGGTGGTCTTCATATGTAGCACATCCAGTAATCTAAATGGGAAGTAAGTCAGACATGAGAGAGTGTGAGTAAAACCTTTGACTGCATAAAAGTCCATAACCGGTGAACAAGATGGAACTGTGGAAACTAGCTGCAGCTGCCACTTGCTCTTCAATCAGAAGCTGTGAGCCCAGGAGGACTCCAGATTACAACCCCATCCATCCAAAGCCGAAGATGGAATCAGAGGGCTTTTGCACTGAAAGTCCCTCTGACTTGCTGGGATTGAATTTAAGCAACCCCGACTGTCACAGCCTCCAGGCACTGGGGCAAAATCTTCACTGTGTCTCTTGTTCAGCCAGGAGTCAAGGTACACAGCCAAATGTCATCTACTATAGAGAGTAAGGAAGATGCAAGAACTGTTTGCATAAGCAAAAGGGGCTGAACTATTCTTTAAATCCTGGGAAGCAAGATAGTATTCAGAAGTGACTCAGGCTTCACCCTGATTCACTAGAGTATAAGAAGGAGGGAAGGCGAAGCACAATCAGGCTTGCAAGATTCTTTTATTAGTCTACCACAACAAAATATAGTTCTAGACTTCCTGTGGAGTTGATTTTCTGGTCTGGTCTACCTAGTGGGGCTGATATCAGTCTTGCAAGCCTCATTGTCTTAACTCCTCTCCTTCTTATACAGCTAGAGTCCAGCTGCAGATGTTCAAGCACTCCATTGCAATTTTCCAGAGTCAGTACTTCAGTATCAGCTGCTCTTCCCAAGAAACTGCCCACAAAGACAGTGAACATGTGGCTATTTTCCAGATGTCTCCAGCTCTAGAAAATGCTACCAAGTGTCCTGAAAGATGCTACTAGGGGCATGGAATGGGGCGTTCTTGAGGAGATATATTTCACCACAGCAACCCAAGGGCAGGCGATCAATCTTAATCCAAGAAGTCCACTAGCTCCTGCTGCAAACATTGCTCGGCAGAAGCATGATACCATCCAAAGCTCTGCCAACCTCTCTGTCAAGCTTTGCCAGGCCATTAGTTAAAAACAATTTATTTCCCTTAAGTGGTTGTTGGTAATTACATGGGGGGGGGGAGTGTCTAGCTAAGCAGGCTTCCATGATAGTGGTATTAGGTCCTCCTTTCTCTCTCCCTCTCACACATACACTCACTCACTCACTCTCTCTTAAATCAAATGGAAAGCTAACCAGCTGCAAAGGAAAGCACTACTCCCTGCTATCATTGTTATTCACAAAAATTCCCCATTCCGTGCCTCTAGGAGCATCTCTCAGGATATTTAGATAGGGTTAGGTTAGAGTTAGCCTTTCCAAGAGATGCCAGTGAGACAACCTAATACCTTCTATAAGCAAAACATGCTTTCTGCCACTGAGTATTGCATCTTCTGTACTCTGTGGCTTCTTTCTGATTCCTTGCTACTTGTCTCCCAAACACTTATCTCCCCTGACTCTTGGGATTTCCTCCCAGATCATAACATGTCCATGTGATATCAATTCCAGGCAAACAAATAACTTTCCTTTCCTCACTGAATTTGAATTGCAAACTGCTTGGCTCCTTATCTAACACATAATTCAGACCCATCCATCACTTAACCAGTCAGTGACAGAGATCTACTTCCACAAACACAGTGCAACATAGATTACAGGTGCATTCTCTTGTTTGGAATATGCTATACTAATCAGACATAATGTACAGTGGATACTTACTTGAGAATAGCAAATAACTTCTGCACATTGCTAACTATGCCAAGGAAGTCAAAAAGATTAGTTTTAAGAGATATTTCTAATTGTATAGGAATATTAAAAGGAGTATTGAAACTAAACACATTCTAAACTATGACAGTGGTCACCCAAAATAAGAGGACATGTGTCTAAGAGTCAAAAAGTACAAACAAGAACCATTGAAGCCAATCCTATTCTTAATTCAGAAAAAGTTCCTACTGATTGGCTGATTGATTTTGTCTCTGATGTTGAAAATGTAGCACACATTTATCCCAGCTAATAGTTTATAGCTTAAAAAACAATATCAGCTTTGCATTCATATGGCACTGATAATCTGTGTGGTCATAAAACTGATTTAAAGATGAAAGCAATCCTTTAACTGTTGCACACTGCTTGGAATTGTTAGTACAGCAACCAAAATATTTCTGGGAAATTCAGTCTGATATTTTGTGAGCGCATCTGCAAATTACACCAGTGATAGCCTTTCTGTAATAACAGATCTTGATAAATGAAGTTCTGAAATTATGTTTTCTGTTTGGTATAACTGTTGAATTGTATTTAAATATTTTTTCATAGAGGATTCCAATTTTATTCATTCCCATATTAAAGCAAATGCTTGTAAGCTGTTCTGGTTTCTCCTTGAATCTATTTTTTAGTTTACAAACAGAGCAATCAGTAATAGTGTTAAAATACTTTCTTCTAATTCTAGTTCATTTTCGTTCCCTCTTTTAAAATTAACATTAGACTCATCCACAATACTGTCAGATTTTTTTTAGTGGGTGTTTTCAAAACTGTTTTAATTATCCTTTCTGGTTGCAGATTCATTAGTTTTCTGGCTGCTTCAAATGTGTTGCTGAAAACAATTCCATCCCATATTTTTTGCCAACCTTTTCAGACACAGAGCTGTCTTTATATCCATGTTTTTCTGCCATAGCAGCGAAGTTACAGTTTTAAAACATTTGGTATTCTCAGCATAATCTGAGTAAGAAAAGAAATATAATCTGATCTGATTGAATATTCCAAAATCTTTAGTTTATGGGTGACCATATTTTTCACAAGAGGATGGACTGATTAATTTGAATAATCTTTGAACTAACAGGTATTTTAAAGGGCTGCTTTTTAATATTTCCACTGTTCACATAAATCAGAATATTCCTTTACCTATGCAGTATGACTAAACAGAGCTGGTGATTTAAACAGCAATGAATCAAAACATCATTGAGTTTTGCTGAGACAAAGTTTTGTTTTGTTTGAAACCATGCCTTTCTTAACATAACCTCCATCATATAATTAAACGATTAGTTTGTCAAATTTTAAATATAAGCCAATCAGATTTGACTATATTTCCAAAGTTATACTTGGACCACTTAATGAGCAAAGCTCTTAAATAGTGAGCCATCATTCTGTTGGCCGTGCATGATAGATCTTGGAAAGCAGTTCTATGTCTTCAGGTCTTGGTCTCATCAGCCAGCAGTTCAACAAACATTATTTAATTAATTGATTCCATAACCTCTTGCAACTATTTTACCCTTGATGGGGATTATTTCATTTTGGATTTGAGGCCTACTGTATTTGACATTCACGCTGTTCCTTGAATTTGTTTTATTGTTTCTCATAGAAAACTGGACTATAATTGCAAGAAGAACCACTTTCATTTACTCCTAATTGCTCACATCCTGAGTCACTCCTGAAAGACAACTGGCTAACAACTAAAAATTGAACTGCTTCAGCAATATGCTTTCTATAGTATCTTTTATTTTCTATAACTTCATTATACATTTTTTTCCCGGAGGGTTTATCCTGTTAATTTTTACTTTTCTTGCTGCAGAAAGTTATCTGTTCCACTTTACTGGCTTGTGACTTTGCATGCATGGTTCTCCCCTCCCCTCCGCCCTTTGCCTTTTTTCGGCTGCCTGCTTCCTGTCAGCTTATCCTGTAGTTAGAAATGCTGAGTCAGAGCTTACAACATGGCATTTCCTCCATACAAAACAAAATGCACGTCTCTACCAAGTGAGTACTCTGGCCTTCCTGTGACTTGCAAATCATCTTTGCAAATGGTCAGACAATGACGTCTCTGGATATAATTTAGAGGCATCTAAATCAGAAGACACATTAAAGGGAAATCACTATGGGTTGATTTTCAATTGAATTAGTTAGCTATCTCAGGGATATGTTCTCTTTCTAAAGCAACTGATAGCAGATGAAGGGTTAGATTCAGCATTTTGTTCACCTCTTAAAGGAGTTACCACTTTGCTTTTGATAATAGTCGCACTATTAGATTTATTCTAGCAAAGGAAGTGAGGATGAGGATTTACTTTGAAGTCATGATAGAGGTAATGATAGAGCTGAATCAGGGCCTGCATTTAAGAGCCAAGGTAAACACTGAGTTTTTAAAGCTGCACCTATGCCAGAGGCGTCAGAGTTCATCAGTCTTATCAGACTCAAGCTCTCTTTGCCCAAAAACATGGGGTTTAAAGTGCAAAAGCTTGGGCTGACTTTATGTGCTTCAGGAATAGGCCTGCAAAGTTTGACCTTTTTGTCTTTCTCAGGCATTTCTCACAGAATTATTATACTGTCTAGCAACATTTCCGGGGCCCAGCTGCCCTGTACGTCAACAGAGGAGTCAAGGAGAGCAAATGATGACCCAGATCATAATGTCATCATGCAGATGCCAGGGTGTCATCACAACTGTCATGATGCAAGAACATAATTGGGTCATACTGTCACAGTGGCTTGTTACAGAGGCTGTGATATCTGGGCCTCCTTTATCCGAGTCCTTTCCAGCAGCCCCTTTGCCTAGCACTTTTTCCTGCTTAATTATTTGTTTAAAAAGGGAGAGCAGGGTGGAGAAAATGTAGGGGTCTCTTGCCCACCTAGAGGCTTAGAGATGACAGATTTGTATCCATAGTTTCTGGGAATGAATTTAAATTGTCAGAGGATACTTTCCCTCCCTGTGGAAAACTTCTTCATTGGTAGAAGACCATGAAAACTTGGATTTTTGGCATGACTTTTTGAAAAAGCCACATCAAAAATAAATAAAAGAATTAAATCCTTGGTAGATGGAAAGAATATCAAGGAAAGTGCTAGTCCCTGCCATATTCAGTTATTTATGCTATAAAACTTTTCTTTTCTTTGATAAGTAGATTGTAAACTAAAAAAACACCCAGCCTTTAAAAGCGGCTGTTTTTGTCTTCTATCCAAAGTACTGAATTAATTGGCAGCATCATTTGACTCTTTCCTTAAATACAAAGTCCTTTATTTGTGCCTTTTTACCCTTTAACCTCCCAACCCAAACCCTGAAAATGTTGCTCCTTAGGAAAGTCAGGGAATGATTATACTGACAGGAAATGCACATTTTAAGGACCAAATAATGTGAAAAAATAACCTTTGCATTAACAAAGTATTTGTGCTAGGACTATTCTTTTGGGCTGCAAAACTCTGGATGACCACTTGGGGGCAGAACATATTTCTTTTGGTAGTTGGTGGTTTTTCCCCAACCTGAAATATTTTCTCTTACCTAGGTCAGTCATAGCTTTTTGTGTTTTTTCTTTGTAAATAAATTATTATCCCTTTGAATGGTAATTCTTGGCTGAGTTAATCATTCCCCCTTGCTGCTGTGGAGCTAATGAAAACCCTTTTTTTTTTTTTGTGAAATTCAGGGAGAATGTGAGCTAATTAGGTAATTAATCCCTATTTGAAAGTCAGAAAGATCTACTGCATAAACTAGAAAAAGCAACAGTGCGTATGCCTGCTATACATCTACCATACTTTTCTGAAAAGATGTCTTATATCTGTTTTGGCCTCTTCTTGTCTCCAGAAGAATGTATATACCCGTGAGAACACAGGAACCCCAACAAGGCCGTTGGGAATCAAGTTTTACAACTTTATGACAGGAACACAGGAAATCTGCTGATTGGGTAATGCCTACATTTTCCAGGTTTATTATTATTTTTAACTACAATATTTCTTTGTGTTTTATGTGCTGAAGTTTCATACAGATTAAACTCCATCATCATCTGCTTTAGGACTACATCTAATAAGTATTAAAATGTGTAAACATCTAACAATAAAATATTAAAAGTGACAGCTAAGTGATAATCGGGAGAATCTCATTATATGTCTCTGGCACTGGCCAATCTGCTTCTGTAGACTCAGTGTCAAAACTAATCTCGAGAGACTGTGGTAGAAATTCCATTTCAGACATCTCTTAATCTCAGTTCCCCACATAATCTTTTGTAGTGGCATGTGCTACATGCTTGATAATTTGGGGACTCATAACAAACAGCAAAGATTTGATAGTATGTCAAATTAGTGTTGGTTTTCCCCCCCTTTTTTAATATCAGTTAAACAAAATAGGTGCTGAAAATAATAAATTGTGGTTAATAGTGTAGGGATATAGAAAAACCAAAGTCCATTTAGTCTGGTATTGATTGGGAACAGGTCTCCAGAGATTCAGGCAGGACTTTTTGAGACCCATCCAGATGAGATGTAAGGATCTGAATCGATAACTCTTGAGTACTGTACAAATGTTTTTGGATCTACCTGATGTGCTCTTAAAAACACAGAATTAATCAACCAAGTATTCAGCTGATCATAAAAATGTAAAAAAGCCAGCAAATGTTTGAAGTTAAATCACTATTGAAATTTAGAGGCATGTTGATAATCTTAGAGACTATCCTACCATTGCACATGGCAGTGTGGAATTCTTCATTTAGGCAGCCCCCAGGATTCCAAAGGTGCACAACCAGCCAACCTCACACCCTTCAGTAACAGGAAGATCTACATCAAGACACAAGTGCAAAAATATCAGATTACAAATTGGCCTTACAAATAGATCAGTCAAATCCTCTGTAATCTATTGTCTAAGGCTCACAGCTGTTATGGTTGCTGTGACATTCCAAAATGGTACTAAAGAGTCAGCCTACATGGGATATCCACCATCTCATCTAATGCTAAATGAAACTTTTGATATTTTTCTTTTAGTGACAATAATCCCAAATTGCAAGATTTATATTATCAAAACATGGCAAGTTTTCCATAGTTCTTTAGAATAAAATTCAAGACATTTCCAGGAGGTTATAAATAATGTTCAAAAGAAGTTAAGAGAATATTTCAGAAGACCACACTGGAAAGATTGGCAGATAGTTGAAATGCTCAGATACTATAACAAGCAAGAAAATAGAAAAAGTGCATTCTTCTTTGCTAGAGAGCTAATTGGTTTAATTAAGGAGGAGGATCCTTCTAAGATCATCTTTAGGGATAGAGTCATGGGCACACAAATAACTTAAATGCAATGAAATGTGAAAACATCTGGCAACAATATGCAGAAGTGAAGACATGCATTATACAGAACAACTTCTGGTTGGATAAAGTAATAGAATGTAAGGATTAGAAGTGATCTTGGAGGTCACCTAGTCCAACCACCTGCCCTGTGCGGGAATCACTGCTGCAGCATTCCTGATAGATAGCCGTCCAGCCCTTAATGAAACACTTCCACCAAAGGAGAGTCCACTATTTCCTACAGCAGTTTGTTCCACTGTTGAGCAGCTCTTACCATTAGGATTATTTTTATTATTTTTTCTGATGTCCAACTAAAATCGACTTCCTTGACTGAGTCATTGTTTCTTGTCTGCCTGTCTTCTGGAAAAGCTCTGAACAATTTTCTCCCCTTTTCTGTGCCCTTCATATTCAAATTCTTGAAGACAGCTATCATGGCTCCTTTTATTCTTCTCTTTTCTAAACTAAGTGTACCCAGTGCCTCCAGCCGTTCTGCATAAGTTTTTCTTTCAAAGCCCCTTATCTTCTTGGTTTTTCTCCTCTCGATAGGATCTAGTTTATCAATGTCATTCCTAAAATATGGTGCCCAGAACAGGATGTCATATTTAACATGCAGTCGGATCAGTGCAGAATGTAGAGGAACATTGGCTTCTGCCAGACACACAAACTTATTTTGTAAATGTTCACTGGCAAATACTTAAGAATCTGCTTCAAAGTTATGCTCTGTGTGTAATTCCCCAGATCATCTCTTTCCCCATTTTTGAAGATAAGAATATTTTATATCATCCAGTCTTCAGGCACTGCACCCCTCTTTAATGATTTCTTCAAGATCCCAGAAAGAGGTTCTGAGATGACATCCATAAGTCCTTCAAGACTTTGCTGTAATTGGCTTGGTCCTAAAAAAATGTAACTATGAAGTGTATTCTCAAAAATTTGGGACTTCAGTTAACATGGCCTTGTACTCAGATAGGCATTGGTATACTCCAGTATTTCTTGCAATATTATTAAACTTATAATTGGTTAATTGCCATTTAATTGTTACTATTGGAAGCAAAGAAAAATTATTCAAATGTTAGTCTTGCTAATACAATTTAAATATGGTTGGAATTCCAGAAAAACTGGAGGAGGGCCAAACTGCTCTCTTTGTGGAAGACCTAATATGTGAACCATTAACTTTGCAGGAAGGTTATCAGCTAGATATCAAAAGAACTTACTGAGTTCCACCTCTCTTTTTCAAACAATTCAGCTGATAAAACTCAACCATTTAATTGTAAAGTTTCTCATATTTATTCCAACTTAAGAGAAGCTGGAATTGATAGAATGCTACTACAACAGTAGACCTAATGAGAGGGGATACATGAAACATATGAGGGAACTATGGATGGACAGAAGACCTACATCCACACTAATTGAGAAACAGCTAGTTACTCAGTGCTCTTACAACTTGAGCTAGACCAACTACACATTACATCCTGGACTCAAGAAGACCCAGAAGAACAATTGGATGTGCAGCCAAAACCTGAAGCTGGAATGTCACTGCCACCCCTTCCATTACAGAGCACAGCAGCTGATATGAGGCATAACATCATGCATAAACCAGCTACAGTCAGCCTTCAAGGCAGATTACCAAGGCTCAGTGGAAAACTACCATCAGATAGTATGCTAGAAGATGCCAATAGAACCCTCACAACCCTACTACCACCATAACTCAAACCAATGAACTGGTATACGCGACAGCTGCTGTAATCCTGGAGATGCTTGGCTACACGATCAAGAAGAACAGCAGTACATACCACCCCCACCCCCCGGAAAATGAGATTGGAGGCTAAGATCAAGGTAACTTGGAGAGTTCTACTAGACAGCTGGTAGAACTACAGAAGGATGTGGAGATAAAGGCTAAGGCTAGGCTACTGAAAAAATACAAGGGCCTGATTCCATCTGAAGCCCTGGAGACTGCTAAACAAAGGCTTACAGCACTGGCTACTAGGCTAAGGAGAAACACTAGAGAAGCAGAGGCCAAGAAGATAAATGCCCCGTTCTCCAAAGAATCTTCCAAGGTGTACTCCCAACTGTAGTATAACAACATAGTAACAGCAGAGCCACCAATAGCAGAAACTGAACAGTGCTGGAAAAACACATGGAAGAAAGAAAAGATGCATAACACTAAGTGCAAAGTGGTTGCAGGACCTGAGAGTAGACCACAACAATCTCCCAGAACAGGAACCAATTACCATCACAGTAGCAGACATCCAACAGTGGGTCAAGAATATGAAGAGTTGGACAGCACGTGGCCTGGACATGATCCACACCTACTGGCTAAACAAACTAACAGCAGTGCATGAACACCTAGCAGCACAGATGAACCAGCTGCTAGCAGCAGCTCCCACCTAGACTGGCTAACACAAGGAAGGACAGTGCTGATCATGAAAGACACTCACAAGGGAAGAGCACCATCCAACATCAGTCCAATAACCTGCCCCCCCCACACAACATGGAAGGTCCTATTAAGCATCATAGCTGCCAAACTGCAGGACCACATGGGCCAGTACATGAGCACAGCTCAGAATGGCATTGGGAACAACACCAGAGGCTCAAAACACCAATTGCTCATAGATAAAGCAGTCACCCAAGATTCAAGTCTAGATAGGCCAATCTGAGCACAGCCTGGATTGACTACAAGAAAGCCTATGACTCAATGCCACACACATGGATCTGTGAATGTGTGGTGCTATACAACTTCAGCAGGACACTAAGGACCTTCCTCAAGAGCCCAATGGGACTGTGGAGGACCACACTGGAAGTCAACTCAAGACAGCTCTCACAAGTGCCCATCAAATGCAGCATATACCAAGGTGATGCACTGTCCCTGCTGCTGTTCTGCATAGCTTGAACCCCCTCAGCCAGATAATCACAAGGACTGGATATGGGTACAAATTCAAGAGTGGAATCACCATCAACGACCTCCTCTACGTGGGCGACATCAAGCTGTATGCTAAGAGTGAATGAGACATTGACTCGCTGATTGACTTAACACGTATCTACAGTGAGGACATTGGGACGTCATTTGGACTGGAGAAGTATGACCAGATGGCAGTAAAGAGAGGGAAGATAGTTAAGACTGATGGGGTGGAACTACCAGCGGGCTGCATAGCAAACATACAGACCAGCTACAAGTACTTTGGTATGCCACAGTCACATGGGAACCATGAGGAGGAGGCAAGGAAGACAGCAATATCCAAGTACCACCAGAGGATAAGACATGTCCTGAACAGCCAGCTCAATGGGAAGAACAAGATCCACACGATCAACATGTATGCCCTGCTGGTATAGTGAGCTGGCCAAAGGAGGATGTGGAGGCTGCTGATGTGAAGATGTGGAAGCTCCTCACAATGTACAGAGGTTTCCACCCCAAGTCCAACACCCAGAGATTGTACACCAGCTGGAAAAAGGGTGGGCGGGGTCTGATGAGTATCAAAGCCACTGTCCTGGATGAAATTCAGAGCATCCAGGAGTACATCAGTAAAATGGCACCCAAAGATGAGCTGCTAAGAGAATGCCTG